TACCAATTAATAGTGCATACAATTTGTTACCGTGACTATATTTTTATAATATTCAGCATTACTTTAGTTTCTATTACTTTGTAAAACTAGTTACAGGTACTTTAATTGCAAAAGTTGCCAAATTTATAGTTGCTGGAACTATTTTGTTTTCTCTCAGTGTAGAAATATTAACGATGTTACTATTGTCCCGTGTTGCTTTTATCCCCGGTCTTCTCTACACCACATCAAGATTGTGATCATTGTAAAAGTTTTAATATCTTTTATTTTATTATTTTATTATTTTGCTATTAATTAGATTTTGTATTTTTAAGTTTTTGGAAATATTAAGCACTACAATCGTGACTTTTAAGCTTTTGATGATGATTGCTCAGAATTCGACGGTTATAGTTTAGGTAATAGTTATACACTTAGATTAATAATAATTAATTATGATTTTATGGTTCGAGTTTTTTTCTTATCTAATAATTATTTTTAACTTTCCTAATAATCATACAATACAAAAAAATTTTTTTTAATATTAAACGAATCATAAAATAACTCTTTATGAGCTCTTGATCTACTTTCTTTATTTTTTTTAATTGATGAAACTTATAGATTACGCTTTCACTAGTATTATCTTCAAAGATACAGAAGGTTTATCGCCGTGTTTTTTAAACATTATTAATGTGTAAAATATAAACATTTTTAAACATTATTAATGTCAATGTTTCGTGAATCTTGCCATTTACTTCATCAAGACGAAGAGCGCACTGATAGGTCAAATTAAGAAAGTTGATATTAGCAATAAATAAGGGGCGCCGAGTGGCTTACCGCTCAGTGCGATTCACTCGCGATCTGTGGATCCGGGTTCGATCTCACCTGTGCCCCATATACGCAATTTTTCGCGTTCGCCGTTCGGCGTTAAACTGTAGGTCCCCTCGAGTATTGACAAACTCTGTAGAGTGAAATTCCACTACTAGATTGAAAAATTAAGCAAGCCCCTGCCCCTGAAGGGACTACAAAGCTAGAATGGATACACATGGTACTGTGACCCGGAAACAGAGTAGGAAAACCAAAAAAGAAGAATTTACCAAGACGAAGACCAAGCAATGGATAAAAACACAACGATAATCCGCAAACCTTCTACTAACTTTTACAGATTATATATATACAGGGTGTTTCCAAATTAAATGGCAAAACTTCGGGAGCGTGTAGAGGAGTAAAAAACTAAGAAAAAAAGTCCTATAGACATATGCTCGTTTTTGCTCCGTTTCAGAGAAATCGAAAAAAAATGTTTACATTTCTTGCCATATCTAGCACCGACATATTTGATTACATTTTCCACTTTCTGTTATGAATTTGTCAGTCGCTCTTTGAAAGCCTTTAACAGTAGATGAATTTTGTCTTTTGCAATATGCCGCGTACGTATTCTAATAGTGAATATGCTGATATGGTTTTTGTATACGGTTTCTGCAACGGTAATGCTTTAAAGGCGGTGCGAGAATATGCACGACGATTTCCAAACAGAAGAGTGCCAAACCGAAGAGTGTTTATGTTGACATTTAATAGATTGCGAGAGACTGGATCATTTTCAATTCGACAAGAAAACAACCGATTTCAAGCAGCGTTACGAAGAGATTTGCAGGCAGGGAATCGTATTTTACAACATTTTGACAATCATCCTGAGACCAGCGTTCGGAATGCGTCGGCTGTATTGGGAGTGTCACCACAAACAATTTGGCGAACTGTAAAAGGAGATAATCGCTATCCCTACCACATTCAAAAAGTGCAAAATTTATTACCTCAAGATCATTGGAACAGATTGAACTTTTGTAACTGGTACCTTCAGACATGCCACAATGATATTTTATTTCCATCTAAAATAATGTGGTCAGATGAGGCAACATTTACCAGAGGTGGAATAATTAATCAAAGGAATTATGATATATGGGCTCATCAAAATCCCAGGTCTGTTAGAGAATACAAATTTCAGCAAGAGTTTTCTGTTAATGTCTGGCTTGGAATTTGGAACGACGTTTTAGTGGGACCGTTTTTTTTACCTGCAAGATTAAATGGGGACCGTTTTCTAAATTTCTTGGAGAATGAATTTTCTGACTATTTAGAAAACATCCCATTACAACAACGTACTGAAATGTGGTTTCAATTAGATGGATGCCCTGCTCATTACAGCAGAGTCGCTAGAACCTGGTTAGATAGAAAATTCCCACAACGATGGATTGGACGTGGAGGAGCAGTACATTGGGCAACTCGTTCGCCCGACTTAACGCCATTAGATTTCTATGCATGGGGTACTCTGAAGCAAGAAGTTTATTCTTCGCCTATTCAATCAGAGCAACATTTGAGAAATCGTATCGTAGCTGCAGCGAACAGAATATCGCAAGAACAGTGCCTGGCTGCTACAAGAGCCGTGTTTGACAGATGCAATGCTTGTATTGCTGCAAGAGGTGCACATTTCGAACAAAATCTTCATTAAAAAGTTTATAAATAAAATAATTAAAATAATAAATTAAATATATTTTTTTCTTTTTTCGTGATTTCCTGCGAAACAAAGCAAAAAGGAGCATATGTCTATAGGACTTTTTTTCTTAGTTTTTTACTCCTCTACACGCTCCCGAAGTTTTGCCATTTAATTTGGAAACACCCTGTATATATATGTATATTGCGCGCTAATTATACTCTAGGAAAATTATAGAATTTATTAAAAATTCAAAACAAAGAACAAGATGTTAATTAATAATATCTTCAAAGTGTGTTTGATAAAAAATATTTACAATTATCAATTTTTATTATTTTATATATATATATACACAAAATTACAACATTATAGTATTAGAACTTTAAAATCTTTATATTCTATAATATTTTCTATCTTATGAATTATTCAACACTCACCTTCCAATTCTAGTGCATCGAGATATTCATCTAAATTCTTTACACATATTAACATCAAATCGAACATTTTCTTCATTTTGCCAGATGTGAAGAATGGCGTGAGTTTTGTTCTTATTACTTTCCAGGCTGGATTTCTTACAAAAAAGAGATTAGCATAACCTATGCGATCGGCCGGATCGGCCGTATTGTATCGGTCAGAAAAGTAACTGAAATCTTTCACTAAAATATTCTTGACAAGTTCTCGATCGCGAACCAGCAGGAAGGGTTTGTCCAACACATAGAAACCCACATAGGGTAGGTCCTTCGTTTCTTCATAGAGATCTTTTAGGAAATATCCCGGAGCTTTTTTCTGGAATAGACACTCCTTGAAATTGCCAAAGAAAGGCATTGGTGTTATTTCTAAAATGCCCCGTTTCTTCCAGTACTTGAATTTGCGTGTCATATAAAGGTAGGCAGTTATTACGAGAGTCGTAAGAATGATCATGCCGTCCAGGCCCCAATAAGTCGTTATCAGTGCCATTTTGCAGCTGTTCTATAAAAATATTTAAGTTTTTTTGCACTTATGTGAAGTATAGAGTGAGTATAGAGATGCGTTATGTTTCAATTTATAACCAGATGAAACGTTGAAGAAACGTTTTACTTTAATGACACGCAGTGTTGTAACACATACCTTTTGAAAGATATATAGATATATAGATATATAGGTATTGTGTGGGAAAAATATTTAGTTATAAGTATAAATATGTTTTAAAAATTACCTAAATATAGATACAAATACAGTATAGAAGTACCTGAAAGATTTAATTATTTTTTAGGTACTTCTTATGAAAAAAACAAACTGTGTAAATGAATTTTATTTTACATCAAATTACTACTTATGCTTAATTTATAAAAATGTTTAGATAATTGTCATTTTTCATGTTTTTCTAAAATATCAGTAGCATTTCAAATCATATCGGAAAATTGATTTCTCCTGGGGATTAAAATTAAATTTATAATATAATGACGTACAAATAACGTATAAATAAATACTTCGTACTTAAAAGATGCCCTACAAAAAAGTACAGGTACAGATACATATATAGATACTATAAGGACCTAGGTAATACACTTAGGTACTGCTAAAGTATGTATAATATATAGGTACTGTACTTATATGTACACCTAGGTGTGTTACAATACTTGTGTGTGTGATAGTATATTGATTATGTTAAAAAACATAACGATTATATATATATATATATATATCGACATTTGAAAAATCTTTTTGGTACATTTATAAATATACACCAATCACAAATAATTATAATCATCTAATAGTTGCAAGATGTGATATAAAATGATCAAATCAATGTATGATTATCAAAAATATCATCATGAGAGTTAAAAAAGAGTTATTAGCAAAATTTGTTTTCATTAATAAATTAATTGGTTCTCACCGTTGAGTAAAACACGGAATATTTAAAAACTACACAAGTTACAGAAGTCGAATAAACTTCAGTGTCATGCACGCAACAGTATTTATGCATTATAGCTTCCCTTTCTATTCTCCTTCCGGTTTGCCTTCATTATATAAACGTATATTATTATTTACAGTAATAACCGGAGATTATACACGTAACTTTTAATATCTGTTCTTAATATTTCATGTATCTATATATCTGCATTTGCTCATCAGAAAATGTCATTTTTCATAATCATCCTTAATTGTCTATTAACAGACAAACAGCAAATATGAACTAGGTACGAGCAAATAATTCGATTTGTATAATACTGTGGAACACTGATTTTGTCTTTGGCTTGCGAAGTACTAATTCCAAAGTATTTTTTGACGCTGAAAACGATGCTGTCCTCAGAATTTGCCTACCACGTTACATTTCTGAGAAAATTGGGATAATATAGGTGTTATGTCCAAGCCCTTGGAAATTTGAAATCGAATGGGAGAGACAAGGATGGAAATGGAGAGGGTATGGAAGGACGTGCAGACTTTATCTCACAGATATACGCGCAGAGGCGAATACCTGAGAGTCGAACGTACTTCTTATCGCTCCGGAATATGGGTCAACGTCCCGAAGGGACGCTATAACATCTGTTTTCTACGAGCAGTGCGTACGTCGATCCTGATTTCGAGTCAAGGAACTTAATCCTTATAACTCGAGACTGGACCACGTGCGATCTCTGAAAGACGATGGAGTACGAGGTCGTTTTTGGTTTTTAAAATGAACGGAGAGCAATCATCTTAACAATGTTCTAATTTATTACTAAACATAAATTACAGTTTAACTATACACGCTTAGAAGTAATAAATTATTTCTATAGTTTATTGTAAAATTTAATTTTATATTCATGTTACAATAAATGATTGCAAAAATCGCTGGCTAGTTATTAAAGAATAGGAATATTTGTGCCGCTAGAGAATATTTACATAGGGCGAGCGTGAGTTTATATTTGTATATTAACGGTGAGGCGATACATGTTGTTTTATTGAATTTCTTTAATTATGATAGTGGAAGGAGGGAAGAGATCATTGAAAAGGTCGATTGGGACTAGGTAAGGAAAGGGGGAACTGGGAATGAACACTGGAATGTGAGTTCCAGGAGGTTGTTCGGCTTTGGCAGCTCGGATTTCCTCGGGATTGAAATAGTCAGGGCCTATGGTGTAGGTGCCCTGCGGGAGAGGATCGCTGGTGCGATCGAAACGGTTCACTAAGGGATGATTTACGTTAGGTTCTGGAGTGTGTAATTTGTAAGGAGCGGCTTATTGTTTGTCCGGGCAGACGGGTTGTCGAATTTTAGCTTCTGGTTACATTGTTGGTCAGTGCCTCGGTTCTCCTGGTCTCGTGGATGGTGATGATCGAATTTTGAGCACTGATTCTAATAGCTTTCACGAGCTAAGTAAAATATATTTTTTTTTCTGTCCGTCTGTTCTTCGTGTCTCACGATGTCGTGGTTTATATAGTCGTTTTTAGGAGTTGATTCCATGGTAGGATGTGTCAAATTGGGAAATTGGGGAATCAGATTCACAGGATTTTGATATGATAACAGGCTTGACTGGTCATTGGGAAATTTCCCTCAAGTTAACTCCGCCTGTTGTGTCAGTTTGATTCGCTCTTATTCTTATTGGTGATAAGGTATCACCTCCCTAAAGGTTTCAGACTCACGATCGCCTATTGGAGAGTTTCGTTTCTGGGGAGGGATGGGTTGTAAGTTACCTATTTCCCTTTTTATCAACATCTGCTTAAGGGAAAAGGTAATCTACTTTTTATCAACATTCCTGGATTTAATTAATCTTGTTCCTTGGGAAGCAAGAAACGTGAATTATTATTTTGTTGATTTTTCCATCATCGGAAAGTGTCATTATTAGATTTATGACGCTTTCTTAAGCCTATGTGCAAGACTATTATCGTTAGACGTGCGTGATATCGGCGTGGGATGATTCAATCACATCTTACCTTCCCTCGAGTATCGCATTCATGATATAACTCTCATCAAGGATATTTGATTCTGGATCCGGCTTAGCATCTTGATGCTAACGGCGCGGTTTGAAAATGATTATTCGGTGGTTTCTTTTTCCACGATATTCGAGAGGAGATTAAAGGCTTGGTTATCGCGGGTTACTAAATTCTAAATAAACATATTTTTCTGCTAGGAAAGTTTCTTCGGATTTATGTTATCGATTGAATTTGTTCGTATCTTACTTTATTGATCGAACGATCGTAAAACAAAGAAATCATGGAGTCCACTGGACGTAACATAGTCAAAAATTGACATTTTTGGCCACTTTTAGAATGAAATAGTGGTTAAGGTGTTTCTTTAGTAAAAATGATTTTGATTGGGACAATGTTCGGGTTTTAGACGAGGAAAGGAGTTATAATAAGAGATTAATCTCTGAGGCAATTTTTATTAATAAACAAAAAACTGATTGAACTTGCAAAACGACACAAATTTACTGACTCCATCGTATTATGACTTACATTGTTAGTCGCTAAAGATTGACGTAACTTCGCTTAATTTGCTGTTGATAATACGTATATTTTTATTTTTGATGTTTTATTTTTATTTTCATGTTTACATTTAATTTTTATCAGTGGACATGCTCTCTATTTCTCCTATAATATTCTCATTATACTTGACTTTCTCATTACAACGATATCTCTCTCTGTATTCACATCTTTGTAACAGACCATCATTAAAGCTTTTCGCTACGTAAGTTTTTAATAATTTTGATTAATATAGTTTTTATTACAATTAATTAAAGTTCTTTTGAATCATTTATTTTAGTGGAATTTTTTGAACATGGACTGTTTATATATTCAGTAAAATATAACAGACGACTTTTTGGAGATTCAAACAGCGACAATAGTTTAACGATGTTTTGACGATCGAGCGTTTTTACTTTAATTTGACATCATGAAATTATCTTAAACACATATTTTCTACACTGAAGAGGACCCAATACCAGGGTTGAAGCGTCTGTGTATCACATTTTTTTTAATATACATTTTGGATTACACACGAACAACTGGTGGCTCATATTTGGCAATTCCTTTACATCAACGTTTCTAATCGTTTAATTTATTTGGAGAGCCTTTCGTATTTTTAATTTGGGGTGATTCACCAGAGCCCACCAAAAATTACAAATATCTGCATAATTTGGATAAAATATTAAAACTACGTGTATATCTTAATGAAATAGTATGGAACATTCGATAGTAAATTAAGAACTGCGTATTTATCGAATGAAAACAAGATAAGATTATGATGTTTACCTTTCGAGATTAAATTTATATACAAGTTTATGTACGTAAGTATCTTCCCAAAATGGCCGCATTGACTTATTATTACTTTTTTGTAACCATTAAAATCATAATTTTTTAAACTATTATAATCTCGTTTTTAAGAAAAGTCTATGATAAGATTTGTATACAGTTAGTCAAAAGTGTCTGCAATGTTTTATCTGTCACTAAGTTATACGTGAAAAGTTATATTTTCAACATTTTTTTCTCTCTTATTTCATCATTAACTTACCGTAGAACTTTGCACACATCAATTTCGATACTTCAACTTCATTATATAAAAAAATTAGACATTTTTATCGTAACTCGATTTATCTTCATTTTATTTTGCCAAATTTGTCTACACCAGAGAGAATCAAGGGAGAGTAGAGCGGAGTTCTAGTATTCTCTTCTCTAATTGGTTCCGCCATTTATAGTGCAACTTCCGCAAATGTGCATGTATGTTACATATATAGAGAAGAAGGTGGTATTATGGCACCCCAGTTACATTTTATACAATAACTTTGTTAATAATCAATATTTAAGTTTAAAACATGATAACTACATTCGTTAAAATGTTGTTGAATCGATTCTGAACTCAAAGTTACGAAATATTTATTACTTAGGATACTATAATATTAATAAAAATGTGGCGACGTTGCATAATGACTCGAAGAAAAAAATGGGTGGCAATGTGGCCTTCCATAAAAATAACCTTAAAATATTAGTTTTGTTTAAAAAACAGTATTTGTTTACACACACACACACACACACACACACACACACACACACAAAATTAACAAAAAAGTAAAACATTTTAAAATGTATGAAAATGAATGTATATACATTCACATAACTTCTGCATATAAAATGCTCAGTACTAAAAATCTCTGTACTAAAAATAGTACACGTGATATAAACTATAGATTAAGAGTAGAGCTACAATCGATTCAAATAATTATTTTGGTATGAAAACCTCAAAAAAGAGTGAGTAATCAATATCCATATAGAAGGCCACATTAGTAAAATGCCATGGTATTGTTTAAATTTGCATAACTCAAAATATATACAGTCAAATAGAATGTTAAATAGCAAATAACACACTCAAAAATACATACATATATTTATGTGATAAAAGCTCAAGTTTAAGAAAAATGAAGAAGTAGGTGTAATTAAATGCTATAAATATACATCGTTTCGAAATACTTGGAAGTAAAAATGCGTTATAATAAGTGCTAGTTATTGAGTATTGGTAATATTAGCGTCATGATGTAACGGCGAGCTACTGAACTAATAATTCCATAAGAGTAATCATTAGGATTCGCTATATAATAGCGGAGATATTAAGGGAGGCCACAATATGTACACTAGCCATAATACTCGTACCACCTTCTTCTCTATATGTATGTACAGTTAGAGCCTAAAAGGTTGCAACACTTTTTTAAAAATGGGTTTTGGAATGCAGCCTACTTACCGAGCGATTGGTTCTTATTTGTCAATCCATGAATAAGAACCAATCACTCGTTGAGCATGCTGCATTTCGAAACCCATCGAAAAAAAAATGTTGCAATCTTTTAAGCCCCGACTATATATGCACACAATACTAGTGCGTGTGTAGCATCGTATGTTCCATCACGCTCCTATCATATCTCCTACTCACTCCAACGATGAACTGAAAATGCCGACTTTCGATGAA